TGTGTGTGTGTGTGTGTGTGTGTGTGTGTGTGTGCATGTTGCCTACTGGAGCCCAAACCGGTTGTCAATGAGTCGTTTGACTTGTTTGCAACTTCACGAGTGCTCCTATAGCTATTCAAATTGAATATTCAGTTTACTTCGAGTGCTTAAACATACTCCACCTACTAAACGCTCGAAGCCCCTGACTACGAGGGTAGTGCCAATCAGCAACTATCCTTCATTTTAACTGGTGGAAATTATCCAGCTGCATCTAATTGGAAAGGCCATGCCGTTTCTGAACCCATCTCATCGTCACATCTAGCATTAATCTACTGCGCTGTACCACCGACTACCCTAGTTTCATGGGCTACGAGAGCTGCGAGCTCAACCTTCCGTTGGCCGCCTACATTCAACGTCAACTAAGCTTTAGGACGAAGTAATTTATGTCGAGTTGGCATCGCAGAATGACGGGGTACAAGGGGGGCGAAACTTGTCTACTCAACGGATGGCAGAGCCAGCAGCTGAAACAACTTTCAGGAGTCTGACAAACGAATAATTCAGTCAACATATTTTAATACTAGAAGGCAAGCAATGAAGATTCACCCAAGAGGCTAGCAGCTTCAGCGACTTGCTGCGAACCCTGCGATAAAGGGAACTCAGATAGGGAGTGCTGAAGATAACCAAGGGATACCAAAGGGAGGATTGAGGTAAAGAAAAACGTAATTGGGACGATTGCAGCATCAGTTGCAACAGTTGCGGTCTCCATTCGCTTATTCTACGACACAGCACAAACGAACTGACCCCCAAAGAAGCCTCGGAGAAGAGAGATATGAGCAAACGGGGACTATCATGCAACGGCAAATTCAATGCCCAGCACGCTAAAGTTATCGGAGATGAATGTATAATAATATATTCTTGATGGCTGGAAGCTGCGCATACCGCCAGTGTGGAGGATAGAGCGCTCCAGCGTCACAGTTCCACTACGTCGGAATACTACGTAGACGCCCGTGCCCGCGGCCTAAAGAAGTTCATTTAATAAGGAAACTAGATAACCTCGCGAAGAAATGCGGCAAGAACCCAACATCACAGGCCTAAGTGGACGAAGGGAACTTGTACGGTTCTCGTCTAGGGATCTGTGCTGGCCCTCATTCCCATTAGGCTCCTGCCGTGGGAGATCCAACTCTATAGGACCGTAATCTCTGAGATTCAAACTCCTTGCAGCAGGTGTTACTGAGAAGCACACACCCTTACACACAATTCATGTACATACTTGCTATGTTGTGCGTGAACACCTGGCCATTACTAAGGCAATCCGCGGTCAATAAGTGTACTCCGAAGCAGCTATTGCTGGAACCGCCAGCAGACCAGTGGACCAATGGCCTTATTTCCAGGGAGACCCAGGTTGCGAAATCCCGAACTAGTCTAAAGAGGTGCGTGATTTCCAAACTAGAACAATGTTGACTATGAGCAAGCACTGGGGGTCACCGGCTACCTGTACCGTTAGACTAGCACAGCAGGACTAACCCGAAATTTGGATACCTACAAGAAGGTATATTCCTCCCAACGGGGTTAAAGCGCGAGTGGGCTACTGATGGTTTGTATCCATAGGCTAGGGCCAAAGCGTCTGAGTAGACTTCCAAGTCATGCAGCTATTTCCCATCCTGCCTCCAGGCTTCCTCATCGCAAGAGTACATGCTGGTTTCTGCTGGACACAGCACACAAAAATTACATACAATACATATATATATATATATGAGATAGATAAAGGTGTATAGACATATAGATATAGATATAGATATATGGATAAAGATATAGATATAGATATAGATATATAGATATAGATATAGATATAGATATAGATATAGATATAGATATAGATATAGATATAGACATAGATATATAGATATAGATATAGATATAGGTATACAGATAAAGATATAGATATAGATATAGATATAGATATAGATATAG